CAGTACTGTAGAAATGAGAGCAAGTTTTCTGCAACTTCTTATTAATAACAGTACCAGAGTGATACTGGCAGATGCAGCCAAGAGTAGCTTTACCTTGACACCATCAGCAGCATCTGCACTCCACACCTCTGCTTGGGCAGTACTTGCACTCTCCAGGCTGCCACAACCCTCTGCTGGTCCCCAGGAAGGGCGCAGCACACAGGTGGTGCAGAAAGCATGGTCCTCAACCTGTGACTGAGGCAGCACGCAGGTCCTGAAATAAACCTTCCACATAGAGTCTGGGTAAGGGGATGCACGGCTCATTCTCATCCCTGGCCTGTGAGAGGAACCAGGTCTTCAGCTGGAGCAAGCCAAAACCTGATGCCTTCTTATTCAAGCAGCACCTCACCCTGTGACAAGTACCACTGAACTCAGTGAAGTCACTTGTGGGACATGCTATGCAGTATGAAGAAATACAAAAGAATGTGCCTGTATGTAGCATAAAAAATCACATAAGATTGATTACTGCAAATTATAATTTTGATTAGGGAATATTTAAATCTGTTGAATGTGTTATGTCTACCTCTGCATCCAGCCTTGCATGCTGTCATGTGTTGAAAACATTAGATTATTTAAAAATTCAAGTGCAGAGAGGTTGATCAGTCAAGTGAGAAGCTGTTTGTTTTACTCCTGGTTATGGCTAATGAAAATAACTTATCTGATTCCTTTAATAATGTATTATTAATTTAAATTTTCTTAGAAATAATTTCTCTTTTAAATGTCTATTTTTTTTAGCTGAAAAAACTCTTTTTTGGACTATGTTCTTCAAATAAACTGTGCATTGTTCTCCGGAACATCTTTCAGAAGAGTCTTAAAATATGTATTACAGAAAGATTATACTCCTCCTGAGACATTATGTTGCCAGTACAAAGGGATTTCATAGTTATCAGAGGCTTGTGCTATGTATGTAAGAGACTTTCTTACTCAGCAAATTTAAGGAGAGAGAGCGGACATTTGAAGAAAAAATAGATTTTTGCAGTAACTAGTTGTCAGTCACTTGAATAATTGCCCTTAAACATTTTGTATTTCCAATTCTAAATGATAGGCAGGACATTGTGAGGAAGTCCAGCAGTGTTAGCAAAGAGGTAAAACCTTTGCTTATGTATAAGAGGTGATCATGCGTCAAAGCTATATTGTCTGTGGCTGATGAAGCAGGGAAGAATCAGGCTACAGATCACATGGAAATGGAGACAAAATTGCCTTTTAGTTGACTACTTCCAGCATTTTACTCTGGAATAAGACATGAAACAATAGTTAGTTACTGAAGGAAGTGGCTGCACTAGCATCAGTTCATGGGCTAAGACTGACATGCTCACAGGGAATAGAGAGAAAATACATGTTTTCAAATGAAAAGAAATATTAGAGATTCATGTTTCACAATCTCACATGACGGCAAGGAGTGTGATATGTAGGAACATAACTCTCTTTTGAGAAAGAGAGGGACGGTGATATTTTCCACACGAGATTGTTTTGAAAACTCTTACTGGAAAACCTAAGGCTCTCAGTGCAAATTAATTATCTTTTCTTGCTTATCAAATACTATCATTGATAGGACATGATCTCTGAGAGGCGTCATTCTGGACTATTTGCAAGATGTGCACAGCTGCACTGTTTTCTGTTCACATCACTACCCAGTGTTGGGTCATAATGAGTACTGCAGGTTTCTCTTGGTATCTCGTCAGGTTCTGATACCTTTCTTTCTTCCAGTGCAATCTTACTCACTAAGAACTGTGGCTGTCTTAGCTAACTGTGTCATCTTTGGTGAGGTGACTCCTGTAAGTTGTGAGCTGTAGAGCTGGTGTGAGGTTACAGCAGGGGCCAGTTTCTCCTGTTATGATAAGATGTCTGGCACAGCAGAGGCCTCACCAGCCAGGATCCAACCCTACAGTACCCAAGAGAGGCAAGCAGGGCAGACCGAGGGGTGGTAGTTGGGTTCAGCTCTTGTTGCCAACTTGTCTGAGTTTATGAAGTAAGTTCATAATGATGAGGCAGGTCCAAGGTCAAGCTGAGAAGTCAGTCTGTATCTCAGGATGCAGATCAACAGGGCCCATGGCCAGGCACAGCTGTGCCCCAGTTGAACACAGATGCACCTACGATGCAGATGAGGCAGGAACAGAAGGTACAGGCCTGTGCTTAAATGGAGGCCTAGGCCTATGGGCAGACTATGTGAAAGACCCCATGTAGGGAAGGTCAAAGACATTAAGGATTATTAGTGCACTCAGGGCACTGACAATTGGATCAAACCTGTCCTATAGATGTTCACTTCAATTTTCTATTGTGTGTCAGGATTTGAAACAGTGCTAATTTGGCACTAAAGTTAATATGCTTCTTACATTAATGTCCTGTAAATCTTGTCTATCTATGTGGTCAATCTGAATGACTCTCCGGGCCCCAAAAGAAGTTGCCAGTCCTCTTCAGGGATTTACCTGTTCTATAACATGTTGAAATTCAAAACTGATCAAATTGAAGACAAGACTAAGAGATGGTGGCCAAGCTTTTCCTGATTCTTGTGTGCACTTAGCTTTTAGTTTGTTCTTAACCTCCAAATACTAAGCTCCTGGATGTGGTTTTCTACCACTTGATTTTCAACACATTCTGCCATGTCCTCTCTCATGCTCTAAAAACACCACTGGCTTTCAATTCACATGGCTCAGTAATGCTAACACAGCATTATTTTTCCATTTTCTCCTTTTAAGTTTTCTCCTCGAAAAGCACAAAGCCAAAAACTTGGTTCCAAGGGGCACATAAGCCGACAGCAATGGTTAACAGATGAACATGATGAGTACAGAATAATTCAGTTGTCAAGTGACAGACTTAATTTTTCAAAAAGTGCCCCAGGCTTCTTAGTTCCATCACAAAAGCTGCAGAACTTCTTTGCCTCTGAAACATAAATATTTCAGTAACCTATGTGTAATTCAATTGAGCATTTATATCCAGCAAATAATTACATACTTATCTTCATTTCAGGCTGGCTTGTATCCCAAGGTTTAAGGAATATATCTTTGTCATTTTATCACTGCTTAAATGTCTGATTACTACGTGATAAAATCCTTCTTAAAAACCTTTCTTATTGCTGAAACTGGTAGTGTGATAAGAGACAAGGCAGTTACAGCTCGATTTCCTGAGACTGAACCAGTAGCGAGGCTAACTTGTAGTTCCAATAAGCACACACATAGGTAACACATGTATACTGATATACAGATATGCACGCGCACACACACACACACATACACACCTATATATGTCTGGCCACACAGACAGAAACATGCAACAGTGACATAAACGCAGTCAGCACCAATGGCCTTATCATGAGCACCTGATGTCATCTATCTTAACTTCTGTAAGGCGCTTGACATGGTACCACACAACATTCTTGTCGTTAAATTGGAGATAATGAGTTTGATGAATGGACTATTCAATGAATAAGGAATTGGTTTTTTGGCTAAGATGATGTTTTACAACTTCCAGCTTGGAAGGTTGGCCTGCACCACTTCCATAGCAGATTCTGAAGAAACTGTCAGATAAAAGGAAATGGGTGCAGGAGACAGCAATCTGCAGGTGATAATGGCTGCATAATGGCCCTTTAGCTCTTTCTGTGTACCTGTCTGGCCTATGTGGTGTTCTCTCTTTGACCTATCAGCACTGCTCCCAGCATACATCAGGACTTAACATGAGCCATGTTAGCCAAAATCTGAGCAGGAGTTGAGTGAACAGTCACAGATCGGGGAGAAAATTGGAAGGGTAAAAGTGAGGAAAACTTGTGGACTGAGATAAAGACAGTTTAATAGGTAAACAAAATGTGCATGCTGAAACAAAGCAAAACAAGGAATTCATTCCCTACTTGCCATCAGCAGGTAGATGTTCAGCCATCTGCAGGACAGCAGGCCTCCATCACAGGAAGACAGATGTCGTAACTCCAAACATCCCCCCTTCCTCCTTTTTCTCTCAGCTTTTATTGCTAAGCACAATGTCATATGGTACGGAATATCCCTTTGGTTAGTGCCCTCTCCCAGCTTCTTATGTACCCCCAGCCTACTCACTGGCAGGGCAGTGTGAGAAGCAGAAAAGTCCTGAAGTATCTATAATGGCAGTCACACACTGTAAAGCAAGAAACCCACATGTGCATCTTACCCCTTCTGTCAGGCTCTTCACTAAGTGCTCTGTGATGCCTGTAATGCTATTTTGTGAGTCTGCAGGTAAAAGGACTGGGAAATGTGTATCCATATCTAAGGTGTAAGAGGTAGACCTGGGAGCAGAGCAGGAAAAGAAGGGGTTTGAGGCATCAGCCCCACACCAGGAAATGGTGGGGCATGAGGAACAACATGAAAACCTACCTGTCTCTTGTCTTCTCCTTATGCTGCCGCATCAGGAACAACATGAAAACCTACCTGTCTCTTGTCTTCTTATGCTGCCGCATCTCCTGAGAAAGATTGCCACCTCTCTTTTCTCGTCAGGTACCCATGACTAGGGGATTCTGTGGCCAGGGCAAGAGAAGACAAAAGAATAAAGAGTATTGGGACACTGAGCTGGAAGTAGTAGTAGAAGAAATTGAGGCAGACAAGGGAAATTGCTTCTTCACACCATACTGAACACAGGAATGAAGATACTGGTGCCCAGTGGACATTTTCTGCTGGATATCATCATGGCAGAACAACAAAGAGAAAGGAGGAGTTTCTGTTGAAACCTTTATGAATCACACAGCAGGGACATTACTCAGCATTTCCTAGCCTTGATAGGTCAGAATAAGAGAAAGTTCTCCTGTCATTAGAAACAATGTAGATTTTAACAGTGCCGTTAGCTCAAACTTGTAAATACAGACACAACTCTGCAAAAAAAACCCTTTAAGTTGGACTATCTAGAAAAGTGAACCAAATAAGTCTATTTAAGAGTAGTAATCTCATTAACCATCTGCAATAGATAATCATGATTAGGTACTGTCCTTTCCGTAACCTTGCTTTGTCTCTGTGTATGAAGGTGCTGATGAATTGAGGCTGTCAAATGGAACTGGCCCCTGCTCTGGGAGAGTGGAAGTAAAACACGAGGAGCAGTGGGGAACTGTGTGCGATGGTGACTGGACCATGGCAGATGCTGAGGTTGTTTGTAAGCAACTACAATGCGGATCTGCTGTTCGGGCACTTAGTCGAGCTTCTTTTGGAGAAGGATCTGGACCAACATGGTTGTATCGAGTTCACTGCCGTGGTGATGAATCTGCTCTCTGGAACTGCTCACACGCAGGGTGGAATTCTTTTACCTGCCCTCATTACTTTGATACTGGAGTGATCTGCTCAGGTAAGAAGTCATCCAACCTTGTATAACAGAAAAATGCTACAAGGCTGAGAACTTTGTCCTAGCTGGATAAAGCCAAGTACTGCACAGAGGTAACACTTTCTCCATGATCTCCACTCAGCCAAAACAAGTTGCACCAGCATTAAGTCTTCTGCTGACTGCATGTGCATGTCTCCTTTGCCTGGGCACAGCAATTGAAACAGACATAGCAAATAACATAAAACAGAAAAAGAAACACTTTTTGTTTCTACCAGATCTCAGGAGAGCAGTACCAATGGGAATGGGGCTAAAAAATCAGGTGTAGATGGAGAAGCAAGAAAATGCTGTGTTATGCCAGATCTTCATGTAAACTAAGACAGGACAGCCTGAAACAGCAAACAAATCCAATGTCTGTTTTGCTACCTTCCTCTGTAAGATGTGCTTGGTTTTGCTCTTTGGATAAAGTTCCATGGCAAGAGGCTTTTCCTTCCCAGCTTCCAGACTTTACATTTGTCCTTTTTTATTTTTATAATTTTCCTGTCAAGCCATTAATCCAGACTGTCTAAGTCCCTCTAAATGGTAGCTCTGCCCTTGGGGCTTTCTCCCCTCACCCCCCAAAATGCACTCCATCACCTCCTCTGGGTTGTTGGTAAAGATGCTGAACAGAACAGGTCCCAGGAAAGACCCAACAAGTGGTATTACACTTGTTGCCAGCCTCCAGGTAACACTGCAGCGCACTAATCCCTAATCTCTGAGCCTGATCATCCAATCAACTTTTTAACCATGTAGTTTCCACCCTCCCAGACTGTAACATCCTAGTTTGGACACAATACTATTGTGCAAGACAGTGTCAAAGGCCTTAGTAAATGTGATGTAAATGACATGTGCTGGTCTCCCCTCATCCACAGATCTAGTCGCTTTTATCAGAGAAAGTAATAAGGTACCACAGGCATGATTTACCCTTCGTAAATCCATGCTGACTCTTCCCATTCACTTTCTTGTGTCCAGCAATGTCTTCCAGGAGGATTCACTCCATGTTTTTCCCAGATATCAAAGTGTGGCTGACCAGCCTGTAGATCTCTAGATTGTCTTTTTAGCCTTTTCTCCAGATGGGTGCAGCATTTCTTTACAACATTCTTTATTGTGAGGTTGGTGAGACACTGGCATAGGTTGCCCGGGGAAGTGGTGGATGCCCCCTCCCTGGAAGTGTTCAAGGCCGGGTTGGACAGGGCTTTGGGCAACCTGGTCTGGTGGGAGGTGTCCCTGCCCATGGCAGGGGGGTTGGACTGGATGATCTTTAAGGTCCCTTCCAATCTAAACCATTCAGTGATGCTGTATGATTCTATTATCTCTTCTTTCCTTTTTCTGAGGGACTTCAGCTTCCTACTCATTTGAATAATAAATTCTCAAGGATACACACTAGTAAATGGCTATTTAGTTATTTGGGGATTTTAATTATTTTAGTTATTTGGGGATTGCACTTCTCAAGCACTTGGCAAATGCTAAAAGCTTCCCTTCTTCTGTAGCCTTCCACAGATTTAGTATTTTCACATACTAAGAAATACGCATTCCCATACACCATTTTCTGTCTTGTCAGTGGCTTACAGGAATTGCCACAATGGTTATTTAAAAGTGTCAGTAGTCACAGAATCACAGAATCACAGAATATTAGGAGTTGGAAGGGACCTCGAAAGATCATCCAGTCCAAATCCCCTGCCAGAGCAGGATCAGCTAGACTAGGTCACAGGAATGCATCCAGGCGGGTTTTGAATGTCTTCGGGTTTTGAATGTCTCCAGTCCTCAGAGAAGTGACATGTGCCTTGCCCTTGAAGGTACAGGAGTTATTAAATTAGGTGAGTACAACCAAACCTTGACTCCGAATTTCTTGGGGTTTTTTTCCAGGTTTCTCTGAGCTATGTCTGGCTGGAGGGGACAATGCCTGCTCAGGACATCTGAAAGTAAAGCAAGAAGAAACTTGGGCTATGGTCTGTTTTTCACATATTGATTTCAAAGCTGCCTCTGTAGTATGTAATGAGTTAGAGTGTGGCCAGGCTGTGGATATCTTGGGAGGATCTCACTTTGAAGACAGACATGAACTGATCTGGCAAGAAGAGTTTCAAT